TCTCGCTTTCAAAAAAAAGGTTCTGTAGTATGAGTTCTGGAGGCGTTTTCGTCGCTGGAGCACGAGTCTCTGTCGCCAGTGCTGGAGTACGCACGCCGCCTGCATGGTAGATAGGAGTGTTTGTGTTTTCAACCGCACTAAGACTGACGTCTTTTCATTGGTCAGCCGGTTAGCGCGGTCGGTGCTAATAATAAAAACACGCACAAAGAAAGGCAGATTTTCGGGCGATCGGTGTTGGGTGTGTGTGATGACGTCACTGGTTTGATAGAGAGACGCGGCAGAGATGGCGCGGATACCCCGGGTGCCATTGATATGTACCTGCATCGGTGTCGATTATTTACACTGCTGTGTCCAACACAGACAGATGATCGGGGGTGGATTCGGTGGTTGTCAACTGCAATGAATGGTTGTTCTTTTTTTCACTGTTTGTTCACGGACGCATTCTGACAGCAGTTCAGACAGCATTGGCGCGCCCCGAACTTGTACCATGCCTACCATGGTGATATTGCACAGGCAGCACTGCAGACAGCTGTGCGCTGTAGTCTAGTCGACAAAAGGATTCTTTCTGAGGAAGTGTGGGACACAGGGGACGTTGCTGTTGTAGTCGAACGTAGTGTTTGGACGGGTATACTTCAATATTTGGGCACGCAAACGTACGTGCTGCAGGGATGTAGACTAGGGGTGTACCTCTTCGGGCTTGACAATTAAATTCGTGTCAGTTGCTAATCCCAACATCTAGCCAAGACTCGGTCCGTGGTCACAAGAATGCTACAGCCATCAGACGATTAAAAGAACACGCACACTATTAGCAAGAAGAGGGTACTACACAAGCCCGAGGAGGTACACTTACAATCCCTGCACCACGTTTTGCGTGCTCACAACTGAATGAACTACATGCCCACACACTGCAATTAATTCGACTTACAGCAGCAGCATCATCACCCCCCTTGTGCCGCATTTTAACCAAAATGAAAATTTGTCAACTACATCAGCGCGCTGTCTGAAATAAATGCTGTCTGTACAATAATATCACCATGGCGCATGGTACACAACAAGCTCGGGGCATGCAGCTGCTGTCTGCAGTGCTGTCAGAATGAGTCCGTGGACACACAATGAAGAACACCCAACCAAAGCCCTCATTTCAATTGACAATCACCCGAATCTATCCAGATCATCTGTGTTCGGCACAGCAGTGAAAAAACATCGACACTGACCAGGAATCGTTCCACATTGAAGGGGTCTTGTGTTAGATTATACAGCATTTCCACTGAGGAGCTAAACAGCGCTGACTGTTTAGCTCACTCAGTGGATATATATGCGGTAGACTATAGTATATAGACTATAACAAAAGTAGGGTCCGAACAGCTGTTAGGCTGTCGGACTCTGCTTTTCCCCCAGGGTTGTAATCCCTGTCATCAGCGCTGCCCCAAGCGGTTCATCGGCATACAGGCGGGGATACGTGTTTTCATCGTTGACGACTGGTGGTGTGTACAACATGAACGACTTTGAGGTGTGTAGACTATCCCAGACCATTTTCTTTTTCCTGAAAGACGGCGTCAAGGTGGCTCCCAGATGCAGGTACACAATTAAGGCACCCGGGTTATCCGCGCCATCTCTGCCGCGTCTCTCTGCAAAACCAGTGACGTCATCAGACACACCCAGCACCTATACTCAGAAAAAAAACGGAAAATGATTGACAACACAACAAGAAGAGATGTTTCAGTGCCAACGAGCGGACCAAAGACTTGTATCTGCGGCCCGACGCCCGATGCCACTCACCTCACCCGAATATTTTCGCCAAGAGGAGCGACGAGTCGATTCCTCTCCCACTCATGTCCAACTAGCAAAGAGCTTCCGACAATTACACCTGCTGGGCCTGGTGGGGGGGTGAAAGGAGCGATGCTGATCCCCGGCGCTAGCAGGTGGTCTCCGGGAGCTTCGAATCTCACGCGGGGCCGTAGTTTTGCAGCCTGCGGCGGCGGCAGCAGTGTGTCTGCCGGCATCTCGCTGATTCTCCTCTTGTCGGCAGGATTTCCTGCTGTACACGCCGATACCTCACTCGTTGCTCTCACGCTCCCGGAGATCAACACCACCAGCGGGTACTTCCCGCTCTCCAAGGCACTGAGGTCGGTCATGAGGCTCGCCGTGGAAGATATCAACGGTGGGGCGTTGGCCGCGACCTTGTCTGACGCCCCTGCTGCTTCGCTGGATGGAAATTTGACGCTGTCAGTCGTGGAAGTCGCGACAGGCAGCAGGGCGATTGAGGGCCTGTGCGATGCGCTCGAGTACGTCGGAGACAACGGCACTTTCGGGGTAGGTGTCAAGGCCTGGAGAGCCGCTAGCTTCTCTACCTGCTTCCTTTATGAACTATGTTGTAGCTGCCAACGCCAGTCGCTGATGGTGGACACATAACTAGTCTACTGCTTGTCATTGTCTCTTCACAGGTTTTTTGGAAGAATTGCGGCTGAAGAACCTGCGGCGATGAGACATTTTGGGGTATGTTTGCGTCGGGGATTCGCACGAAACTCCCTCCGAAAACCTTGCTGCCTCTGGACCGAGTATGTTGATTCCCCCCTCTTCCCCACCGAGCTGCTAGCTAGTAGCACACCCAATCCGGTTCTGAATAGTCGAAGGTGAAGGTTTGGCTTCGATCATCGTATCGTCTGACGCTCGTTCGGTTCCTTGTGAAATGCCCGTCGGCAGATGGTTGAAAACCAAGGCAGCTTTTCCCAAGTTCACGTCCCCGGCTCCCCGGCATGTTGGATAATTACTTCGTCATCACGTGCTCGTCGAATACATACAAGACGAATGTCTATGTACACCTGGTTGCCGCAAAGCTTGCGTTTCAAAGATAATTTTTAGTCCCCATCCATCACGGAGATAGTCTATGACTTTACTGTATGTAGTTTCGTTCACCTTCTCGTCGAACAGCCTTCTGCAGTATTTCTGATTTGACCAATCACCAGAAACGGGTATACCCGGGTACTTCATCACTACTTTGGGGTACAGTTGGAGTTCAACACGCTTGCACCCCCGGGCTGTCAGCTGATTGACCAAAAAAAACCTTGTACCCATTTGTGAAGAAACCTCCATCGGATACAACCTCCGCTGGAATTAGGACCCTCTGATGTTGTTGTTGTTGTGACCGATATTGATTACTGGTGTACCCGGAAGAGGTCAATTTTGAACCCAGAAATGGTCATAAAATGTGGAGAACACCATAAAGGTTGAAACTCCCCAACGTCGGTCGAGGACGAAACCCTCTTTTCCACAAAAACCCGCATAAAAAAACGTGTACTGCACATACCATGTACCGCACATACATAACCACAACCAAACCACCAACAACGCTCGCTCGTTCATCGTTCATGGGCACCGCCTCCATAGGATACCGGCCCCTCTCAACAGAGGGTCGGACTCGCTTGACGCGCGAGTACTTCGGTGTGGTTCAGATCAGTAAAATCAGAGAGAGAGGCACAGAGCGAGAGAAAAACGGGCACGACCTGCTTCGTCCATCATGCTTCCGAGGCACAAGACACAGGAAACATACAGATACAGCGGTTTATTGGTTTCGCCTCGATCTACGGCGGATGCTGTCGGAGATTGGTGTCGTGTTGATTTCCAAGTGTACCCTGAAATGGCGATAATCCACCCGGGAATACCCGTTTCTGTATTTCTCTCCACACCGCTCATGGCCGTCACCTGGAGTTCTAGACTACAATGATAAATGGTTATCCTCGTAAAACTTAGGAGTGATACATCATGAACGCATGCAAGCAGGTGGTGCAATTATCTCTCTGGGAGTTAATAAAAGTGAACATTTCCCGCTACCCATGGTACTTACTGGTGAACAGTTGATTGACTCACTCGTTTGTAGACTAACTCACTCGTTTGTCGGACTGTGCAGTGCTTTATTATGTGTCGTCGATTAACTATTTCCGTGTTCGGGTTTCTTTCGAACTGATTTCAACTGTGTGAGGTACCCGTAATTTGGGTAGCTGGCCTGTGACCACGGAAGGTGTCCACGTCGGGTACACCGGTATGCTACTAGAGTAATGTTAGCGGAGATCGGAAAGGTTTCTCACACAGGACGACACAACGAATTGCCGCCTGTGCCCACTACACTGTTGGTGCGGCGACACAAAAGGATGCTATCGATGCAGTAGAAGTAGCGACCACCGGTGCTTTCCTTTCATTCCACACCGTGAAACAAATCATGCTTGTCACCCTCGTCGCCGGGGTAAGCCACTGCAGATACACACACCCTTTGAAAATGATATCACTGAGCCACCACCTTTTTTATCAAGCCATTTCGAGCCCCGTGCCGATTGCGGGTGTCCCTCAGTAGTACGGTGCCCCTGATAGAGTACAGCAGTGGCGGACGGTGTGTTGGCCTGGCACACACCCACAGCTATTGAGGGTCTTGGACTGTCCGCCGTCCTTTTGGCCAAGCTTGCGTAAGTTTATTCCATTCCGCACGTCAGATTACATCTGCGTTTCAGGGTTTTTAGGTACAGCTAGGATCACACAGAAAATGACGTTGATCATCGTGCGCGTGGCCAGCCGGTTCGGTCTGATGGTATCGGAGCCAAAGACGGAGATTATGCGCATGCTGCCGAAAGGAAACGAGGAACGCCTTATCACGGTCAGCGCCGCCGGCCAGACGTACAAGCAGACAGATCGGTTTGTGTACCTCGGACGTACCGTCTCCGCGGACGGGAAGGCCGACCGGGAGATCACGAGCCGCAGCTGCCGAGCGTGGAAGTGCTACCGCCGGAACAGTGCTTCGATGTACGACAGGCGACGGGCCGACCGCCGGCTCAAGATCTTGCTGCTCCATGCTGAAGTGGTGCAGACTCTCCCATACGCGTGCGCCTCGTGGAGCCTAACAGCGGAGGACTACACGAAGCTCGATGGGACCCACCGCCAGTTCCTTACAAGGTGCATCGGCTGGAGCAACCGGAAACGCTCAGACCGCCCCCTGTCCTATGCACAGGCCCTCATTCAGGCCGGCTGCGAGGAAACCATCGAGGCCACCGCGCGCAAACGGAGTCTGTGTTTCGCGGGCTTTGTTATGCGCATGAAGGACAACCGCCTCCCCAAGCACATGCTGCTAGGAGCGATGGCGGGGGGCGTGGGATACCGGGGCGGGCAGGAGAGCGACTGGGCGTCTCGTCTAGACTATGAGAGGACCTCGTGGCCTTCAACATGGGAGGCGAATAGGAAAGGGGTAAATGGAAAGAGAGCGCCAAGGACCCGGAGGTGTGGTACAACAAGGTCGAGGACGGGGCGGCATGGTTCATGAGGAAATGGCACAGGCAGGAGGCGGAAGCGTCCGCGAAGCGCCAGCGCGCGAGGGAAGCAGAAGCAGATAGTACGACAGTCTCAGGACCGAAGAGAAAGAGAGCCGGGGAAGCGGCGGTGGAGGGGAAGAAACGGCGACCGGGCACTGCTGTAGAAGCGAGTAGGGCGGCCGAGGCAGCACTTGTGGCGAACTATGTACCCGGCTGATGTTGTTGCACCCTGTTTCCCTCCCTGCTGTATGCTATACTCCTTTATGTACATTGAATTACCTTCGGCCTCTGTGCTGTGTTTCTGTGTTTCTTTTTTTCATGACCTCCCTGCCTACTCTACTGAGTTGGGTAACTTGATCCCCCTTCTACTGTTGCTTTTGCTTTTATTAGCTATATCTGGTTGTCTGCCCATCTGCCGCCTCTTTGTTCTGTTGACTGCATCACTCCCATGCCCTGGTGCGTAGTGCCTGGTGCTGGTACGTTACCCTTTGATTTTTTCTTAAGGCGGGTGTGTGAAGCGTCCTCCTGTTTTCTTTTATCTTTGGTTTTGCTTGGTTTTATTTTGATCGGTTTCCGAGGGCTCTTTTCTCGAACGGTCGGTGCGATACCTGTTCTTTTCTTTCTATCATGTTGTTTTCTTGTTCCGAGTGGTTTGTACCCTATTTTTGTTTTGTTTCCCCGCGGCGTCGTATGTGCCGGGTTTTGAGACCACGGGCTCCCCATTTTTTGTGGACTATAGAGCTAATGTGAAAAAACAATAACAGCAACAACAACAACAACAGCAACAACAACAACAACAACAACAACAACAACAACAACAACAACAACAACAAGGGAGTAAGACAACCACACCAACCATTGATTTTGTCCTCTTTTTTTTATTCCGCGTCTCCCCTGCGTTGTTTTCTGCGCGGTTGTCATCATCCTGAGAGGTATTCCAATGCCCTCGTCCACGGTGAATTCTGACCTTGCTTGTGAATCGACGGAATGACCACTCCCTGCTCGATGGCCTGATTCCGGCACTTGATTGATACCATGTTCGTGGCCATGCACCGAGCCTCAAACCCCATGTCTCAAAGGGTTTGAAGGAGGGTGCCACGGCCGGGAGGGGCGACCGGCTATTGCGTACTAATACATTGGATGGCGTCATCACCATTTGACCAAAATCCCTTGTTCGAAGCAGATACCGCACGTCGACGAGGATACCTCAATCAAACGATACGTTTTCGGAATGCAACGGGGGAAGACTCCAAACGACGATATTTTCGGCACCGTCACCGGTTGTGCTGCAGCGCAATCGATGATCGATGTTCGGCACAGGGGGTGTGATATCCTCTACAACGTACGGTAGATGCAGGCACGGCTCTCCCTCGAGTTTTTGTCAGGATTCCGTCACGACATACATTGATCACTCACAGGGCACCTCGAACCGAAAGCGGGATAAAAAAAAAACGATGGTCGAGGAGAGGTGGTGGTTCGGCGATACCGTCTCCATCCTTTCTGCTCTGTGGAATACCATGCCACACTCACCGTCCCGCTCCCGCTTGCCCCCCCCTCCGATACGCGCCTAGATCGTCGGCCCGATGTTGTCTTCGCAGGCGTCCTTGCTGGAGACGGTTTCGAACGACTTTTTCGGTCTGCCGATGGTGACCCCCTCCGCCTCGGCCGCCCGGGCCAACACGTACTTTTCTTCGGGGGCGTACGGCCTGGGGGGGGAGGGGAGCTACCTCTTCGGCGTCCAGCCGGACGTTTTCTCGGAGATGGAGGCGCTCGCGAGGCTGATCCTGGATTTGAAGGTGGAGAGAGACCTGGATCGCGGCTGGTGAGACTACCTTGCTGTTGGTGATGGCGGTGGTGGTGGTTTCGAAGGGTCTTGATATTGTCGCAGTTGTTGTTTGTGTCCTTCTTGGTGTGATTGGTGGTCGTGGTTACTGGCGGTGTCGTTGTTGGTGTTGGTGCTCATATTGTTGTTGGTGGTGGTGGCAGTAGCGTTTCAAAAAGTCTTGTTAGTGTCGCGGTTGTGGTCGGTTTCGTGGTTGTTTTTGGTGTTGGTGATGTTCGTGTCGCTGTTATTGCTGTTGCTGTTGGCTCTAGGTCTGAATGGCATCGCGGGCGTTGTCGTTGTCGTTTCGTCTTCCCTTGACATGTTAGGGCTGCACAACTACCTTACATCTGTCCACACGCTAGCCCTTCGTCCCAAGGTCACAGTAGTGCTTCCTCTGATGGTTGCGGTTGCTGTGTTCTCGATGCTTGCGTTGTACCACCCATTAGCTGTGTAGCAGACATTCCTGCGTGAATGTTTCAAGGAGGAAAATATTGTCATATTGCGCGTCGGGGTCACCAGCAACACTTGGTCGACCTCTTTGACACTATCACGCAGGAGGAACGCAAATGTCAGGACATGTTCGAGCGGCAGGACATCCCTCCATTGCGACTTTCAAAGCTCAATTTCTCCACAAAGGGATAAAACCAGACTCACCTGCAAGTGAAGGACGATGTACCAGACAACAACGATCACGTCATCCCCACCTTACCCCTTTCAAAATTCCGTGACACGCAAGCCCTAAAGGCTTGATCGTCTGAAAAGACCTTCTACGCGGATGACAATCTGTCGTTGACGAAGGTCCAACAGAACTTGCTCCTCCCCTGCTGGCTCGTTGCTGCCTGAACATGATGCCAGGTACCGAGCCACCGAGCGTGTGTCCATGATTTACACCGACGACACCTACGGGACGATTGCCGCCTCCGCATTCGTTCGCGCCGTGAGACGGACGGAGGGCATCAACATTGACTCCACTGCGGCGGGGCCAATGCCGTCGTCAATTGAGCTCGCGAAGAGGTATGTATCGTAGGTGGGCGACCTGATTTATGTAGTGGCACGAAAACAACATCAACAAAGGCAACACAGCTGCCAGCTTACCTACAACGGCTGCCCACAGCAGTATCGACACCTCAACATCAACATCATCAACATCAACACTACCATGACCAATACCAACAACATCAGCATCAAGATCACAAAAACAACGATATCAACAACACTAACAGCAACAATAAAAAAATCACCAACAACAACAACATCAATGTCTTCAGCAAGCCGGTGAACCCGACCCTGGGGACAGACTACCGACCGACCTTGTCAGCCTTGGTGGAGGACCGCGCGTCCATAGTGGTTCTCCTGTCCGAGGGCTACGACGGTACTTTCATCAGATCGGTGCTTGAGCAGGTGTGTCACACCCCCCATCCATGAAATTTATCCCGCAACAACGTCCGAAGGCATGCAAGATGAGTGCAGAACTGTTTTTTTTTGCCCGGAATATGTGGGCGCGTTCAGACAGCGACTTCGTTGGTTAATGTGCTTCGGAGGATTCAACAGCGCATTATGCCTCCCACTCACACGCACTCCGGTCGCCGAAACAACCAGGCACTCGAGGTAGGCCTTGCCAATGAGGACGTGCAGTGGTACCTCAGCGGGGCTTCCGCCATGGACGGGATCTTCTCGCACAACGAGTCCTACCACGACTCTCAGCTCGCTTACGACTTCCGGGGCATGCTGGGAGTCAGAGCATGCCCTGCCATCGAAGGTGAGGAATTGGGCTCTTTTTCGCGCCGCGCGGGTGTGTTGGCATCGCAGTCACGAACCTTTCGACGACCATTGTCGTTGTTGTTGTTGTTGTGCATGCTTTTAAAGATATGGACTTCTTCTAGGGCTTCGTCTATTGTGGCCTTACCCAACCAAGCGAACGTCACATGCAGGCTACGGTTGCTGTTGATATCCCTCTCGTTGCTGTTGCTGCTGTCGAGGTCGTTTGGAGTGCCATGTTCGAAACATGTAATTGCCACGTAGGCCCTTCGACTTACGACATTTGCGACCTTCGTGACCACATATTTTTCGCACAATCCAACCCACAAAGTGTAGGGTGTCACAACCGTTCAACTGTATTTGTTTATTTGGGGAAGACATACTGTCAGTTTTATTGCCCGCGAGAAGGAAGGTCCTACCGCCTCCGAACGCATTCAAAACCAAGCCCGAAACGGCACACCGGGTGTTCTCCCGACCCCTCTCACACGAGGCGAGGACTCCTGCCCGGCGTAGGGTGTCTCATCCCATCAAATGCTTACACTCCGCGATCCTCGTATATGTTTCCACTCCTTCTCCAAGACCGAGGAGTGTCGTTGACTGGAGTTCCACGATGCCCCTCCCCCTACACACCGGTGGCCTTCCTGGCCTTCCTCCTTCTGGGTGGGCCCGGTTTATGTGTCGGAACATTGTCTCGAGAGAAAGGCTGGCGCGCCAGAAACCACGGGGACGAAAACACAAGCCAATACACACACGGGCGCGCACGCGACGAAAACCAAGGGGGAGTTGACGGTCGGGACAACGTTCGTTATCGAGAATACCATATGGTTTGTTGCCTCATTGTGGAGGACGTTGACATGACGAACGCCAACCAATCTGCGTAAAAGGACAAGTGTCTAGCATTGCTTTCACACGCGTCCGCCCGCCCGCCCTCCGCGACTCCGGCAGGGTCGGGGTCTGAAGCTCTGACAAACCTTACGTCCAGGTGGGCGGCCCTAGACAGCGACAAGTACCCGGGGGCAGGCTTCGGGACCCTGACTCCAGGGGGGAGATTGGACCCTCTCCTCGCGTACGCGTACGACGCTGTTTTTGTCCTGGCCGCGGCAGTGGCGGCCGTGCAGTCGACGGCAGCGGATTGGGGAGGTGCCTTGGAGGGTTTCGTGACGGGAAAGTGAGTGTTTTTCTTGGTTATTCTTGTGCTTGTTGTTGTCTTGTGAATAGTTGTTTTGGATACTGTAGCTGTTTTGGATATTGTTATGGTTATGGTTGTGGTAGTTTATGTTGTTGTATGAGGGGGAAGGATAATGTCAAGGCTTCCCTAAGGAAACACTGCCGACCATCGACATGCATGCGGCTGACAAGGTCAAGCTGTGGCCCACGTTCGTGCCACTCGACGACGTCCCATCTCTACTTGAGGTTGAGGAAGCGGTACGGGAAATGGCCAACAGAAAGGCCGTCGGGCCGGACGACCTGCCGGCTGAGCTGATCAAGCTTTTCCTTGACGGAGATCAAGGTCTTCTCCGCGAATCCCACGCCATTGTCGTGGACGTGTGGCAGACGCGGGACGTACCACAGCAGTGGAAGGATGCCACCATCAAAGTGCTGTTCAAGAAGGGGGACACGATGGAGTGCGGCTACTACCGGGGCATCTCTCTCGTCGCACACGCCGGCAAGGTGCTGCTTAAGGTCGGCGCTACACGACTGAGCCACTACTGCGAGCGAGAGGGCATCCTCCCGGAGGAGCAGAGCGGTTTCCGCCCACACCGGTCGACGCTCGACATGCTGTTCGCCATCCAGCGGCTCCATGAGCTCGCGAGGAAGAAGAGTACTGCGGTGTTCGCGTGCTTCGTCGACCTCACCAAGGCATACGATTCGGTGGACCGAGACCTACTGTGGGACGTGCTCCGACGCTTCGGCGTGCCCCCGAAGATGCTGGCGGCCATTCGCCACTTCCACGAGGGCATGAGGGCGCGGGTCCGAACGGACGACGGGCAGTACTCGGAATGGTTCGACGTGGGCCAAGGCCTCCGACAGGGATGCAACCTGGCCCCGCTGCTGTTCAACTTGTTCTTTGCCGCGCTGCTCATGGTCGCCGTGGCCGAAAT